ACCAAAGGACTTATATGCAAGCATATAGGCCTAACCAATGGACACAGACAACAGGGGGGGTGAGGGCATGAGTGGGGGGGATGGGGAGTAATGTGGGGATAAGGACACATATGTAATAACTTAATCAATAAAAAAATAAAAATAAATAAAATAACATGACCTTGCCCTGGCCAGTGTGCACAGTGGTCAAAGGTTGGATTCCTGGTCAAGGGCATGTACCTGGGTTGCAAGTTAGATCCCCATGAGGAGGCAACCAATCGATGTGCCTCTCCCTCTCTCTCCCCCTCCCTCCCTTCCACTCTCTCTAAAAATCAATGAAAAAAAATACCCTTGGGTGAGGATTAACAAAAATAATAATAATTAATAAAACGACCTTAACCTGTTCAGGGGGAGTTCCCTCTGTAACCAGCCTGTGGTTCCTCCTCACTCTTGGAAGGAACCTGGTACTCTCGGAAGAACAAAGGCGTAACCTATCTTCAAGGACCAGGAAATCGAGTGATTTCTTTACAGATTTCACTATAAACCGTTCATTTTTCACTTAAGTCATGACTCAGACTGGCCTCCCCTGGCTTGCTTTCTGAGAACTTGGTTGTGACCTTTTCTTCCTCTTCTTCTTTGAAGGGCCCTCAGCAGTGGCTGGGCATGACTAGTCAGTTTCCTGGGTCCGCCACCCCGGCCCCTGGGCAGTGGCCCCCCGCTGCCTGCCCCACTGGGCCCTATCAGAGGCCTCCATCTCGGGGTGAGTGGCAGCCTCCTCCTCCCAGGCTCCCAGACCACAAACCGGGCATCATCGCATGCTGCATCTAAACCTGTCGGGTTTTCTTTTTTTCCTTTTTTAATTGAATTTATTGGGGTGACATTGGTGCAAAAAAATTATACAGGTTTCAGGGGTACAATTCTATAAAATGTATCATCTGTATATTGTATTGTGTGTTTATCACCCCAAGTCCCCCCACCCCCTGCCCCTCTGACAATTGCCATGCTGTTTTCTTCATCTATAACCTGCCAGTTTCTGTCTTCAAAATACATGTAGACCCAAACCACTTCCCTCCCCACGAAACTACCGCGCCTCCGACCCAGGTTACTGCCCCCTAACTCGGCCCCTCCTTCCACCCTGGCCCTCTTGTGTTTGTGTCCAGGCAGTAGCCAGAGTGACCTTGATATAGATTTGAAATAGAACTCAGATCGTGTTGCTTCTCTGCTCGACACACCGCTCTGGTTCCCTGTTACACCCAGAAGGAGGCCCAAGACCTTGCCATGGCCTTTTGGGGTGTGCGCTGCCTCCCACCGCCCCTCACTTCTCGGCTGCCTCTGCTTCAGCCACACCGGCTCCTTGCTGTTTCTTGAAATTGCTCAGCACACTTCTCCATAAGGGCCTTTGCCCTGCCTGACCCTCCGCCTGCTCTTCCGGATCTCACCACAGCTAACTAACTCCGTCACGTCCAAATATGCTGAAATGTTACCCCATTGGGTCTACCTGGAGCACCTTCTCTCCTCCCTGCTCCCCAGCACTTCTGAGTACTCTCACCCTACAGCATGTGTAACATGTTTTTCTTAACAGTCGTCCTTTAACATGTATGTGCCTCTACCTGCTAGAACGTAAGTTCTGAAGGGCTGAGGTTCTTTGTTTGCTGATGTGTCCCAAGCATCTAAACCAGTGCCTGGCTCCGAACCAGCACTCAGTAAACACTTGCTGAGGTAACGAATCCTGTCCTGATAACAGTCCACACATTTATCAGCTCTCTAGTGTGGGGGACTCGACAAATGCTACTGGGAACTTCTGTAGGTAGTGCTAGCGGCTTCCAAGGGTTCCAATCTCAGCAGCTGGGGTGATGGAGCCTGGGTTGGATGGAGTTCAAGACCTAGTTTCCCAAAGCCCAATGGCTTTCAAACTGCTTATCCGGACCCACAGACAGGTACAGAGCATGGTCCAGTACACACGTACGTGTAGGTGAAACCAAAAATTTTAAACCAATCGTTTCTCTGCCTGCAATCCACAGGCATTTTCTCCTTAAGCAGCTGTTTGCAACCCTGTTCAACTGTTCACCAGTTACTCCGGGGTGATCACTTGCAGTTTGAGAAGGCTGTTCTATACTCTGTTGCCTCACCACCACCACCTAGTTCGTTATTCCCAGCAAGGCCAGACTCATTCCTGTGCTCTCGAAACCTACTCATCTGTCCACTGCGAATTCTGGGAAATCTGAGAGCTGGGAAGTTTTGGCCCTCCAGTAACCATGACCCCGTTTAATCACAAAGAGGATGTAGCCAGGAAGGGTCTCGGTTTCAAGTCTGGGCCCTCCTCACAGAGGTCAGCTAAATTCACTCTGTCCTGCAGAATGGCCTTCTGTCTCTGAGTCAGACTCAGCTTGAGGTTGGAACGAACTGGCAGCTTTTACTGAGAGCTCACAAAGTGTCACATCTGTGTGCACGAACCCAAGCGCTCTCAAAAACCCAAGTGGCCCGTTTTCCTCTAGCAATGAGGAAGCCCATTCATTCAGCAAATTGTTTGAGAGCACACGATGGGCTAGCAAGCATGGTTCTGAGCGCTGGAGGTACAGCACTGGATGAGGTGGACAAGAATCCCTGCCTTTATGGAGCTTGTATGGGTTGGGGGGAAGGCAGACAACAGGCAACCAGGGGTCCTCAAACTACGGCCCGCGGGCCACATGCGGCCCGCCGAAAACATTTATCCGGCCCGCCGGGTGTTTTTGCCGCCGCTGCCTGTCCTGCTTAGCAGCCGACTCGTCCCAGGCCCGCAGTGCGCATGTGTGGAATGTCTGAGGGACAGTGAACTGAACCCCTGTTTAAAAAGTTTGAGGACCTCTGGGCGACACCCACCAGTGAAAGACACAATATATCAGAAGGTAAGGGCTATTAAATGAGGCAGCGAAGGGGAGGGAGGGTGTAACAATAGTGTGGTAGTCGGGTATGTGTCACTGAGAAGACATTTGAATGAAACCCTGTAGATATCTGGGCAGGGCATTCCAGGCAGAGGGCCCAGCATGTACAAAGGCCCTGAGATGGGAGCATGTCCAATATCTTCAAGGAACAAAATGAGACTAGAGTGGCTGGAGCTGAGTGAGGGAGGCGGAGAGTAGTAGCAGGTAAGGTGTGAAAAGGAATGAGGGTAGACTGGGATCTGGCAGGCCACTGTGAGGACTGTGACTTTTACTGTGAGTGAGGTAGAGGCCATTGGAGTTTTGAGCAGAGGAGTGACACGAGCTGACTTACATCCTAAGTCCCAGGCTGCTAGAGAGTGGACGAGAGAGATTAAGGATAGAAGCAGGGAAACTGGATAGGAGGGGACTACAACATTCCAGGGAGGAAAGAATGGTGCCTTGGACTGGGCACTTCAAAAAAGTATTTCATGAAACATTTTTTTTCTAAATGTTTTTGTTGATTTTAGAGAGAGGAAGGAAGGGGGGGGGGAGAGAGAAACATCAATGATGGAAGAGAATCATTGATTGGCTGCCTCCTGCACGCCCCCTACTGGGGATTGAGCCTGCAACCCCGGGCATGTGCCCTGACCGGGAATTCAACCATGACTTCTTGGTTTATAGGTCGCCGCTCAACCACTGAGCCACGCCAGCCGGGCAGGTATCATTTTTATCCCACAATTTGTTTATTCACTCACCTCTTGACAGATATTTGCATTTACGATATAGCAGCTGTGAGCATTCATATGCAGGTCTTTGTATGGACAATTTCCCCCCCTTGCTTAAATGCCTACGCGTTGTTTACGAGGTTCATCTATGTTGTAGCATGTGTCAGTACTTTCTTCCATATCAATAATATATATATTGATTTCAGAGAGGAAGGGAGAGGGAGAGAGAGAGAGAAACCGCAATGATGAGAGAGACTCATTGATTGGCTGCCTCCTGCACACCCCCTACTGGGGATCGAGCCCACTACCCAGGCATGTGCTCTGACTGGGAATCAAACCCGGGACCTCTTGGTTCACAGATCGATGCTCAATCCACTGAGCAACACCAGCCGGCCAGGTGTTAGCTTGAAGTTCAAAGCTCAGCATGATCTTAAAGATGTCTGCCACACCCATTCCCTCATCAGCTGTATCATTTTTGTTTGTTTATGTAAATAAAAGCACATGCTGACACATTCCTCCCCGACCCCTGCAGGTCTGTATTTTGCTTCTCACTTGGCCTCATGGTCTGAAGACCTTCACAGCAGCTTGCTCTCACTCTCGCTCTTGCTCTCGCTCAGAGCTGCCTGGTGTCCCAGCAACCCCAGGCGCAATAACCCAGGCCTTCGCACCCTCTGCCCTGCGGGCTCTGCCCCAGGAGCCATGGTATATGTAGGTCGCTGTGCAGGTGGCCGGTGTGACCGAGTTACCGAGCTGGGGCTGCGGGCCAGGTCCCTGTGTCTCCCTACCTGTGGGGACAAGACAGATCCCTCCCCGATGCTGCCGCTTCCACACCCACCTCGGGGTGCAGCACCTGCTCCCAGGCCCAGCCCAGTGCCTCTGGCCTGCAGACGGTGTGCTCATCTGTGGGGTGAGAAATGGAGTCTGTTAGTCTCAGTTGCATTCCTGTTGTTGGGAATGACGAAGAGCCACTGGACTGTGTGTTCTTGGAAGAACGTTGATCCGCCCTGTTGATCCCCTGAGACTCCGCCCCACCCATCTGTGTGCAGAGGCTTTTGCATATGAAAGGCCTGACCCTTTGCAATCTGAAAATTACCTAACAAACTGC